GTGTGTGTGTGTGTGTGTGTGTGTGTGTGTGTGTGTGAGATGGTTTCCTTACACAGTGCAAATGACCTGACTCATACATGTGAGGTGGCAGGTGAACTCGACTGACTGTGGCCTGAATCCTCCCGTCTCTGATCTGTCTGCAGCGAGACAACAACCACAGAGAAATGCATTGTGGGTAAAGTGCTGGGGTCCCTTGGAAAGTTCCCTCAAATTAGTATTTCATCGCTCTCTCTGCTCCGCTCCGTCATCCAGCTACCAAAACATACGAGTCACTTTTCCTTTTATCCAACTCAGTTAGCCTCTGATCAACTTCTTGATTCCTTTTTTTTTGTTCAAGCTTCTCGTTATTCATTTAGTCTTCAGAGTCTGTGCCAACTTCAGAAACCTCGGTGGGTCATACCGCCGCCTTCTGCTGTTCCAGGCCAATGGAAACGAGACGTTAGGAGAGGATCTACATTGTCTGAGTCTAACTCCTGATATAGATGCTCCTGTTCTCCGTCTGGGCACAGATCTGCCACGCAGACACGTCAGAAACCAGTCGACAGAATTTTTGGCTCGGCAGGGATTCCTTCTTTACCTGAAAGGGTTAAAAAGAGAGAGAATGTATTTATTAAAGAAAACAATTTATCTCTGTTGAAGGTTTAGGATTTATAGTCAGTGGATGCTCACCATCTCCTGAACTGCAATCCATGGAGGGCGTCCTGGAGACGGTGGCTGAGCGACACAGTTGGTCCTCTGACTCCAGACTGAACGACGGACGTCGAAGGTTTTCTAACAGCTTGTGGTGGGTCCTCTCCATTTCCTGTAGAGATGTATAAAAAAGGTAATTCAGCATTGATCTTAGTTGTTCTGCATTTAAAACCCCCAGAAACCTTCAAATTTAGAGCAGTGGTTCCCAAACTTTTTAGACTTGTGTACCCCCTGAGACATTTTGTCATCCCACTAGTACCCCTCAGTTAAATGTCATGATGATTCTCCAAAACTACAATGTACTAAAACTGATTATTAT